CAGTGCTGGCTCCTCTTATTCACTGCAGTCAGGCACTCTGCCAGCAGGCTACCTGCGGATACTTCGTACCTTATGCGACTCTGAGACGCGACCTGCCGCCTGCCGCTTGGCTTTCTGCATCGTTTGTTCGGGTCCGCCAAGTTCCTCGACACCAAAACCTCGCACAAGTATCGTCGACCAAGGTATCCGTACACCAGCACAACCGAAACAGCAACGACTCATCCGCCGCGACTCGACTCGCTCGCCCGCTGATGATCCCGGCTGTTTTAGTGTACGAATACGTAGGTACTTGTACCTGACACAGACACCGACCCGAGGAGCATTAGCGTCGAGGTTGTGCGCCCTCGATCAGCTCGTGGCTCGTTCGGTTTCTCATCGCTAGCCCCGGGGCGCTGGACGAGATTGAAAGATTTGATCTTATCAGATCCGAAGATAACCCCGAAATCGCATCATGACCCCTCCCACCCAACTCCACCCCTCGTGCAAACCGTTCATCGTCGACAATTCTTTTTTTTTTCTCATGAAATTTTCCTGTCATGTCTGGTTGCGGCTTCTCGTCTCACCCCTCCCTCCCTGCACCATCTCTTTTTATTCTACTGCCCTTCCCACATCGTCTTCTCCTCCTGCATCTGGTTCCGTCCGATTTCTGCATCGCGACCAATTCGGAGTGGGCCGGCTAGCACCATTGATCTGCATTGTCTTGGAAATGTCGGGAAAAGTCCTCGTAAACCGACGGCTTTGGCTTTCTTGACGCGGACAGTTAACATGGCCGAACATTCCATTCGTCTGCAGTCCGATCCTTCGCCTGCTTCGTCGAACAGTCTCACTGGCCTCAGCCAAGGGTCCAGAAACGGCGGCATTAAACAGGTGCAAGCCATCTCATCATAACCATCGCCAAGCCCAGCATCTAGTCACATACTACCGAGACAGGACTGCAAGGCAGATGATCTTAATTCAAGCCTAACAACGCTGCGCCTCACCAACACAGGCGCGGCAGAGAGAAAGGGCATCAGGGTCCAGTCTAAATCTCCTTCCCATGGGCCATCCGCACCCCCGCGTTGGGCAAACTGTTCGTCAGTCGTCCGCGCCCTGGGCGACTTTTTTTTCCTCTTTAAAAAATTGTCTTCTGTGCCTCCGGTCCATCCCTCCCGTCCGCTCCACTCCTGTGGCCCGGCACATGCAAAGCGAGATGCCAAGTCCTGCGACCGCCGCTCGCCGTTGATGCTACAGGCCCAGGCACCACACCTTTTTCTTGTCAATCACTCACTCTATTTTCTTCCTTATTTGCCTCATCGATGGCTCACTGCAACATTCTTCTCCGTCAACCGAGGAGCGGATTTCCGTGTGTACTTACACCACCACACCAAACACATACACAGCACGCCCACAGCTTCATGTACCTCAGAGCCACGGGCTTACTTACTGCTGGTACAGAGTCGTATGGCCCCAGCCAGACAAGAAAAAAAAAAAGGAGGCCCCAGTCGGTCTCCATCCATTCCCATTCCCAGCCTTGGACCCAGACCCAGTCCTCCCAGGGCGTCCCCTACTAGCGAGCCCATCTCTGGAGTCAGCCCGTTGCGACTCTGTCCCTGGCCCCGACCCCTGGATGTGGAAAGGCTTCCGTTGTGGATGGCCTCTTGCTTTGAGCCGAGCTGGCGCTACGCGAATACCTACCTACCTGCTCAAAATACACCAAGTGGTAATACCTCGCCCAGGTCTCTGTAGTCCATGTACGAGTATGTACTACTCACTGCCCCCTCCAAGACCAGCTGCTTGCAAGGGTTCAGGTGCAGGGCCGCAGGCGTTGTCCGGCAGAATGACAGGATCGCAGCATCGACGTTGCCCCATTTGAACGAAGAACCGAATGTTGCAATTTGAGTAGACTCCTCCAAATGTGTGTAGTTCCAGTCGCAGTCCCCAGTCGCGATCCCAGGTTTGGGTCAGAGAGGGCGTGAACTCGACGGGCTCGACGGGCGTGTACGTTGCAAAACACCACCACAATGTACTTGGCCGTACAATGTGTACCCGTACCCATCAGAGCAACGTCGTGTCGACAGCTCCGAGGACGAGGGACGAGGGTCCAGCAGCTGTTCGTCTGTTCGTTTGGGTTCGGTCGATCACGTCGCCGCAACAGATGGAGGTTGCCATCGGCCTCCATCCGTCTCTACATATTAGCCCCTCGATGCCCCTCCACCTCCGATCAGTTTCCTGTTCTTGTTGCGTCTCTTCAACTCACACTTCTTCCTCCGTCCTCCTCCTTACCTTTCAGATCCGCATCTTCAACAACCTGCGGCTTCTTCCATACCTCTCGCTCCAAGAACAAGGACCCTGAATCTGCCCCTAAAAGCGCCACTTATTGCAAGTCGATGACGAACAGTGTGGCTTGAAATCTGCAGCAGCAACAATCACAAGGGAAAAACCGGCGGAAAAAAAGTAGTACACCCCCCCCGCACTTTCGCACCCGCATCCCACTTTCGCACCGGGCGTCGTCTTTTTTCGACCGTCTAAAAAAGTAACGGAATCAAGGTCAGTTGATGCTCCCACTCCCCGAGCAAAGCGACAATGAGCTTTCCCAGAGCCATGAAGCTGACATCTTAAAGCGACCGGTCTGCCCTCTCAGACTTTCCGGCATTGGCATATAATCTGCGCGTTTCGACCGTTGAGACTGTGAATTACCTATTAACCGCCCCGCGCGCGCGACACATATACAAACGCACACTCACTTGTGACCCTCGTCACTCACACACACATACACTCATACTCTCAAGTCACATACCCCTCCTCACAAAATTCAACACCCCCACCATGTCTCCTCACTGCGACTCGCCGACCAACGGCTCCGACGCCGGTAGCGGCTTCTCTCAATACAACGGCAACGGCAATGCCTTTGCCAATGGAAACGGAGCTGTCCACCAGAACGGCAACGGCGTAAACGGCCACTCCAACGGCATCCAGAGCATCAAGCAGTCCCCCTACCTGCTCCCTACCGACCCCAGCGAGATCCACGACCTCATCTGCTGCGGCTTCGGCCCGGCCTCCCTGGCCGTCGCCGTCTCCATCAACGACGCCCAGGAGGCCGGCCGCCAGCTCACCGGCAGCGCCTCTCCCAAGGTCCTCTTCCTCGAGAAGCAGCCCGCTTTCGCCTGGCACCCGGGCATGCTCCTGTCCGGCGCCAAGATGCAGATCTCCTTCATCAAGGACATGGCCTCCCTCCGCAACCCCCGCTCTCAGTTCACCTTCCTCAACTACCTCCACTGCAACAACCGCCTCGTTGAGTTCACCAACCTCGACACCTTCCTCCCCGCCCGCGCCGAGTACGAGGACTACCTCCGCTGGTGTGCCTCCCACTTCAACGACGTCGTCGAGTACGGCCGCGAGGTCGTCTCCGTCTCTCCCGACCCGGCGACCGAGGGCGGCGTTAAGGTGTGGACCGTCAAGTCCCGCAACGTCAAGACCGGCCAGGTCTCATCCTACCGCACCCGCAATGTCCTCATCGCCAACGGCGGCCAGGCCAACATCCCCAAGGTGCTCCCCGCCAAGCACCCCAAGATCATCCACTCCTCCCAGTACGCCCAGCTCGTGCCCCAGATCCTCAAGGACAACTCCCGCCCCTACCGCGTCGCCGTCATCGGCGCCGGTCAGTCCGCCGCCGAGATCTTCCGCGACATTCACCGCGCGTACCCCAACTCCAAGACGTGGATGGTCATGCGCAGCAACTTCCTCAAGCCCGCCGACGACTCGCCGTTCGTCAACTCCATCTTCAACCCCAGCTATGTCGACGAGCTGCACCCCAAGTCGCAAGCCTACCGCCGCTCCCTCATCAAGGAGGCCAAGGCCACCAACTACGGCGTCGTCCGCCTCCAGCTCATCGACCACCTGTACGAGATGCTCTACCACCAGAAGCGCCTCCTCGGCGTCGACGAGCGCAAGTGGCCCCACCGCATGCTCTTCGGCCGCAACATCGTCCAGGTCAACGAGAGCAAGGAGACTGAGCGCCTGCAGATCCACGTCCGCAGCATCGAGCACAGCGGCGACGGCCTCGAGGACGGCTTCGTCAGCCAGCTGCCCGGCGATGAGATCCTCGACGTCGACCTCATCGTGGCCGCCACCGGCTACCAGCGCAGCGCCCACATCGACATGCTCCGCGACACCTGGAGCATGCTGCCCGAGCTCACCCCGGCGTCCAACTCCGCCGACCGCGAGATCGTCGACGGCTGGGAGATTTCCGAGGGCGACGCCACCGCCGGCTCAAGGAAGCTCGAGGTCGGCCGCGACTACCGCGTGCGTTTCGCCCCGGGCACCGTGGCGCCGGAGGCTGGTGTTTACCTGCAGGGATGCAATGAAATGACCCACGGAGTAAGTTTTTTTTTTTTTTTTTTTTTTTTAAATCCTCGTCTCACTATCAGTCCCTCCCCCTCATTCCGGATAAGAACCTTCCCCCCACATTTATGACGAACGCGTTTTTGCTGACGACTTCTCAACAGCTGAGTGATACCCTTTTGTCTATTCTTTCTGTCCGATCATCCGAGATCGTCGACTCTATTTTCTCGACTCCCAAGGCCAAGGCCGTTTCCAACTAGAGGGAGATGCCAATTTGGTTGTGTTTTGTTTTCCCGGTGTTCTGTTTCCTACCACCCCATCTTGTTAGAGAATGTATTGCATTAGCTGTGATAGAATGAGAGACGAAAGAGGAGGGAAGAAGAGACGGCTTACTGTATGGGATCTATTGGGACATGGGATGATGTGCTGACGAACATCTCTTTTTAACGTATTTCAAAGTCGGGCTGAAAAAGACATGGCGCGGAGTTAATATTCATTTCGTCTCTTTCATACTCGAAAAAAAGACTATCAAAATATTTGGACTGTTCAAGTTGCGGTTTTGTGCATGCCTTCAGCCACACGCTATTGAGTGTGGATGAAAAACACGAAAGAGAAGATCGTCACAAACGTTTGACTTGTCTAGGAACGTTTGAACTTTATTGTATCTTGGACCCTCTCGGTCATGGGAGATAGCTATTATTACTGTATACTTGCAATTCGTTGTTGTCCACCCAGGTCATCAACTCCTGATAGACCGCATCGCCCTCATTCGGGAACGTCTGCTGCTGCAGCGGCTGCTGGTGATGGTTCAGATGGAGATGGTAGTCCCGTGGGCCTGCAGACGTCGGGGTGCTGCTGCTGCTGGTGTTGCTCATCGCCACATCCTCGGGCGCGAGACCACCGGGGCCCCCTACCACACCACGAGCAGCAGCAGCAGCAACAGCGCCACCAGACGCGGCGACGACGCCTTGGGGCGCCAGCCGGAGACGCTGGATGAGCGACCTCAGGTCCTTGAGGACGGTCGCGCAGTCGCGGGCGTAGTTGCTGCCCGTCTTGGTCTCCTCGTCGAAGATGTCAATCGCAAAGTTGACGTCGTCGGACTCGGCGGACGGGGACGGGGGCGGCTCCTGCTGCGGCGGGGGCAGCAGCTCCTCGAGCATGAGGATGATGGCGGCGTTGAAGACGTAGTGCAGGCCGGCCTGCAGGAGTTTTCGGGTGCGGTTGGTGAGGTCGAGGAGCCAGCGGGCGAGGAGCAGGTTGCGGTGGGCGGCGTCGGAGCACTGGCGGATTCGGGCGGCGTGGTGCTCGATGTTCCAGCGGCCGCCGGTCGTGATGTAGCGCTCGGCAAAGGCCTTCTTGACGGCTACGAAGAAGATGGGCCGCAGCAGCAGGATGAGGTGCTATTTTCGAACGACGACCCCGGTTAGCGAGTTTTCCGTTTGGTCTCTTCGTATTCCCCTTTGGGGAGGGGGGTAGACGACGACAAGAGGAGAGGAGGGAACGTAACATGCGCCGAACCCGAGTCGAGGGAAGCGAGGAAGGGAGGGGCATTGAGCGGGATAGAAACAAGCTTACCTGATTGTATCCCATATGCAGGAGACAGCATGCGGGATCGGTACTTCTGTAGTCGGCTGGCATCTGCAGGGTAGGGGGTAGCTGGGAGAGCCAGGTTTCGAGCATCTGCAGCGCTCGCTCGACATGCCGCGCCGCGCCGCCGGGTTGGTGGTCGTAGGGGGCGACCTTATACGTGTTGCACACGATGTGGCCCGAAATGCGGGCCAGCTGGACGTGGGCTCGGAGGCCGGCTGCAGGGGGGAGGGAACTGCATGGGTGAAAGCGCGCGGTGGCGGTCTTGTTAGACATGGTTCTCGTTCGTTGGTCGGAGCTGGGCCGTCATCGGAGGCGTGCCCGTCGGACTGCCGGGGCAGGGAGGGAGCGAGGAAAGAGGAGGAGGGGAGGGGCAAAGGAGGGTGGGCGTTCGGTTCAGACTTACGGGGCATCATTCGGTAGGGGGACGCGGACTGCATCATCCATGATGGTCGGCGGACGGCCCATTAGACAGCTCAGCCAGCGGTCCAAGATGTACAGCGTCCAAAAGACTCGTTTGCCGCGCTCGTCAACCCAGCCACGGTGAGCGCCGTGCATCATGGAGATGTGCATGGCGTTGCTCACGTACATGTATGCAGCATCGCGGCGGTTCATCTCGATGAGGTAGAAGCCCATGAGGGCCAGAACAGCCACGTCGCTGATGGTCCAGCTGGTGATGTCGAGAGGGTTGCCGAGGAGGCCACGTGCACGGGAGAAGAGGATCTGGCTCAGATCTTCGGGCTTAGGCATGCGGTTAGGCATCGTGTTGGCCTGGCAGGCGACAGCAAAGGCGGTATGATAGAAGGCCAGGTGACGGTACTTGTCCAGCATCTCCTGGCGGGAGGTGCCTGGTGGAAAGGAGGCAGGATTCGGGTCGACGGGGACGGAGCCGAGATCGCCCCACCAGTAGATGCCGCCGCAGGGAAATGTGCCGTTGCCGTCCTGGATGAAGTAGCGGAGGTCCTCGAGCATGACCGTCATGTCGGAGCGGGGCGGCAGAACAAGCGGATCGACATTTGACATTTCGTATATTGGGCGGGAGTCGTATGTCTGGTAGCGACCGAGGGATGCCAAGAAGGTTGAGCCGTTGTTGGCAGACGGCGACAGCCAGGGCTTGTTGAAGGCCAGCGGGAATACGGTGGACATGAACTCCTTGAGATAGTCGAGAAAGGTGGCGCCGGAGGTCTCGCCGAGAAAGCGGGATCTTCCGTCCGGGTCAGACAACATTCGGCCGGCGGTCTCGGCCTCCGCATCGTTGGCTGCGGCCTCGTCCCGGTAGAGCTGAGCCGGCTGCTGCTGCTGTGTGTACGACTGCGGCGGAGTGAAGGATGAGCTGGAACCGGCGCGGGAGCCGGTCGGGTCGCCACCTTCTTGCGCTACAAGCTGCTGTCTCTCGGCGGCGTCGGGAACCTTTGTCTGCAGGGCCCGTTCCAAGGCGTCGCATTTCCGCCGAAGGTCATCCAGCTCATTACGCGAGACGGTGATTTTCTCGATAGGGGCTGGATAGACGCAATCCCGGGACGAGCCGCGGCACTGGCGGCACGGCCTCTCGCCAGAGCATTTGATGCGGCGGACGTTGCAGCTGTTGCATCTGTAGATAGAGTTCGTAAACAAATCATGTGGACAGTGAAGGGGGTATTGAGTAAGAGTGAAAGTGAGTGTGAGTATGAGTGAGATGGAGTGTGAGGGTGAGACGGCAGACCAATGAGATGCGCCGATGAGACAAGGCGCCAGGAGACGACAGGAAGGCTGAGACGAGAGACAAGAGACAAGAGCTTGCAAGGCAAGGAGAGAGGGAGCATGGGAGGGAGCATGGAACAAACTTACGCTGTGGCGACGCGTTTTCTCTGCTCCGGGGCTACCTTGTGTCGTCGCGGGTTGACAGGCAAACGGGAAGATCCACGGCTTGGGGTTTCCGTCTGTTGCTGCTGGTGCTGCTGCATCCTGGTGACGCGGGATAGTGAGGCCGCATGTCACCGTCGCCGGGCCTCGTGCACGGAAGTGAAGGCGACCCTGATGGATGAGAGGAAGTGAGTGAGATGGACTGAAGAAGCTGCGGTGTTGGCACTGAATTTGGTGGTTGTCGGTGTCGGTGTTTAATGGTGCGAGCCAGCCACGTCGCTGCGTTGGTTGTCGAAGATGTCGGCGTCGGCGTTGTCGTCGTCGTCGTCGTCGTCGCCAGTGGGCGTTGGTGTTGGTTCGTACGGCGGCTGTTCTGTTCTGCTCTGCTCTATCTCGCTTGTTGGGATCCGCTGAGGAAGGATTTGACGCCGAGATGGACGGCTCTATGAATCGCCGAGGTATCTCTCTCACAGTAGCACAGTAGACACCTGTACTACAGTTCCAACGTTGCCGTAGTCGTTGTCGCTGCTGTTGCTGCTGCTGTTGTCGCCGTCGTCGTTTGTCCTCCTGCCCTAGTCGCTGAGTTCTGGCTGGCTGTGTGGGACGTCAGAAGGGTACCGGACAGATTCGGTCGCTTGCAACAAAAAGCTGTTCCGGGGGAAAGATTGGTGGTGGGCATGGCGTGGAGATTTGAGATTTTGAGAGTGTCCGTTTCCTTGTCGCGACGGGAGCGCCAGCGGCACGGTCAGCACCGCCAGTCCAGCCAGCAGCATTAGCAGCAGAAGAAAAAAAAAAAAAAAAAATAGGAAACACTGGGGGCCGTTGGAAAATGGTCACCTAGGTTCAGGGGGGTGAGGCAACGTGGGATTGGGGATTGGGGGGTCGGAAGATACTCCGTGTTAGGCCTCCTCATGTGGTTTGTATGCGATATGCTAACGGCCAGCGGCGGTGCACTAACACGAGCTTCCCTTGCCCTCCCGTGCCTCGCCTTCACGTTTCCTTTGGGGGCCGGAGCTATGCCACAACAGAACCACCGCAAGGCAGACTGCATGCCTTTTTTTTTTCCTCGACTGCGGCCCGGGTCGTCGTGTCCAATGTCGGGTCTGCGGTGTGCTTACTGCATATCGCCCATCCATGGGTAAGTGGTGAATGAAGAGCCTGCTGCTGCTGCGCTGCAACATGCATGCTGAGCCTGCAAGCCTCGCTCGGTGAATCACAAACAAACACCATACACCAAACACCAAACACCCACCAGACCGTACGGACACATCCATCCAAAGGGAGGGGACGCGCTCAATAAACGACCCCGGTCATGGAAGGATACCCCAAGGCGGATTCGGGGGCCGCTGACCGTTGTTGATTGATTCAAACCCCTGGGAGCTGGCATGATTGGGACACGACACATGCCACCTTAACTTCTGAAGGCAAGGTAAGGTACGGTACTTTACAGACCTTACTTGCTATGCAGTGAGAAGTACGGATGCTGAGTAGGTAGTATCTGTATCCGTATGCGTGCGTCTGCAATGCCTAACGTACCCGAACGGTTCCCCAGAGTCAGCAAACCAGCGTCCAGGAAAACGGAATGGAACATGAAAATGGAAGCCCCGAACCTCGCTAGAACTCCGCCACAAACGTCCCATCTTCACCGTCTTACGTCGCCTGTTCCTCTGCTCTCCTCTCCTCTCTCCTCTGTCGGCGGGTAATCTGCTTCCTCGTTCTCCCTCTTCCCGCCCAGTCAGAGTCAGAGTCAGTCAGTTGTCCTCTTCTCGTCCGCCCAGCCACCATTCATCATCCACCGAGTCCACGTGCAACGGATGGTGGGAGGGCTCGTTGCGAATGGCAGCATCTTCACCTCATGTTTCCACTTCTTTCCGACTTTCTGTCTGACAATCCCGAAGGCCATAGCTCGCCGCAGGTGCCAGCAATTGGTTGCCTTCTCATGCCCTCCCTTGCCCTCCCCTCCGTGCTGCTGCCGCCCAACCGCCCTCCTCAGCGGCTACGGCTACGCTACCCAGACAGGCCAGACACGAACGCTCGCTTACGCGGGAAGAGACACACTAGTGACGCTCCAGACTCAGGCCGTCCTGTCAATCCTGTCTGACCGGCAGCAACTCCCTGGAACCTTCGGCCGATTGCGCCTCGGGTCGGTGGAGAAGATGTTGTGCCTGCTGACCTTCAGCATGGTACACTTGCATGTCCGCTGTGCTTTGCGCCGTTGTCGATCCCTCTCCCTGCCCAGGCGTCTACTCTTCGTGCCTTTCGCACACGACTCCACGGGCTGTCTGTTGGGAGGCACACGAGTTGGTTTCCTCGCTTAGCGTGCGTGATGCCGCTGCAAACTCTCAGGGATGTCCTGACCACGCCAGATAGGCAAAACTCTCAACTGCAACCGTGACAAATTGAAGGGGGAAAAAGGAAAGAGTGATTGGAGAAGCCATCGCCAGCTTTGGCAGGCTTCTCAAACAAAAAAGGAGAGATATCCTACCAGCTCAATCGCCTCCCAGTTTCTGGTCTCTAGTCATCTCATATTCCTCAGTCTCAGAGACACAGACACAGAGACGCACGCACATGATACATGATACACAAATCGTTGCTGCTGCCCGCGCAGGAAATGCTCCGGTCCGTCCCTCTTGCGCATGGAAAAATTCGAACCAGTCGAACCAGTTCGCCAGGCTGCCTGCTGAACATCAAACTCACCAAGAGGGGTATCACACCCGATGATGGGAGCACATCAGCCGCCAACATGAACCAGCTGCAGGCTGTGGCAGGCTGTGGCAGGCGGGACGGATCACTTCCTCAGGCGGCGAGCCAAGCGTCCAAGCTGACCTCGCTCTGACCACAGTTGCGTCTGATGCTACCCTGCTTCTTGGGCATTTTCTCGTGCTCCGATCTGCTAATTATCCAACTGAGTCTCAGTCAACGCATAGCTCCCGAGGACCACCAGTAGCCACTCACAGCCAACGGAATTCCGTTCCGTCATCAAGATAAGCACCCTCTCAGCGGGGAGCTGAAATACAGCTCAGCACCAAGCTCCAACGCAAGGGCATTAATGGACCATGGCTTCCAGGCGAGACCGAGGTTCTCGGACGCGACCTTCCCGCTTGTCTTGATCGCAGAGGGCTGTTCTGGTGATTATACACCATGCTTGTAGGAGCTTTCCCGACAAACTCCTAAAGGCAAGTCGATCGAAGCCTGTGCCGATGCGCGAATGAGGACCCTCCTAAGCTTGACTTTTACAGTGCAGAATGAAAGGCCGAGTAGCCTCTCATGCCCACAGCTGCGAGAGTATTTCGCGTTTTCTTCTCCAGGTTGCACGAATTGACTAGTAGCTACACCAGCTCACCAGATGGATGAGCGAGTGCTGGCTTAGTGTGCGACATGAAGATCATTCGTGTGGTCCAGAAAGCGTTGGTGAAGCTGTTGATCTAGACGGTGCGGCCGGAAACCCTGTTGAAAGTGACACGTCAGCGCTATTTTCTATTAACAGTTCTGCCTCGGAGTGAATCATAACGGCACCAGGTGAAGATGCAACGTCTAGAACCCTTGCGTGCCATCTATAACTTCCCTCAGACTGCCTATCCTCTTCCGTCATATGTCGACGTATGAGCCCGATGCTCTGGGATCGCTATCGTCGGGACCTGGAGGGCTGCTGCATCAGCATCTTTGCGCACATTACCATGAGCTGTCGAAGCATCCACCCTGGACTCATTGGCCGACGTCGATGGGTCATGCTGTCTCCGCCAAGTTTGCTGCATAGTCGTCGCCAGCTTGCATGATATTTCCATCGCTAGACAGTCAAGCGCTGGCGCATTATGAACTTGGGACAGCCTGACAGGGACTGATTTGGTGTTCAACATTGGAACATCTACCTGGCTTCTATGGGAGAACAGTGGCATTTGTCTTCGCTTCACACCCGAGCAAGAAGTTAATCAACCAGAGGTCCTCGAGTCGGGATATGTACGTTCTTGGAAGCTTACTTGTTGTTTTGTCGTGCGTCTGCCCATCTTCGATGTCTGCAATTCCTTCAACAGTTCTTATACCAACCGATTTCGACTCGACTCATCTCAGAATTCTGCAGGCTTCTCGATAGCCGGGAATGTTGCGTAGAATGCACCCATAAACCTGAATAACAAGTCCTCCCTCCCCTCGGGTGCGATTACGAAGAGTCCGAAAGGCTGTCCATTGGTCTCGAGGTTCCCCAGAGGAACGGTCGCGATCGGCCACCCTGCGGCCCCCGCGAAGCCGACGACGATGGAGTCCGAAGCCGACACAATGACGTCCACTTGTGCTTCTCGCATGGCCCTCCCTAGTCCGTCAATGCCTGCGAGCCGTCGAATCTCAGAGACGGCTGCCTGGTGCTCGTCTTCCGTCATGGCCGTTGCCGCGACTAGAGCTGCCTCGAGCTCTGTCTGCGTTGTATGGGCTGCCATCTCGTTAGCACGATGGCTTGATCCCTCTTTGCAGTGGCAACACTCACGCGGAGGCAAGGCTTCATCTGCATGGTCCTTGTTCCAGGCAATGATGTCCCCGAGAGTTCTAACATCTCCGGTCTCGGGGTCGAAATTACCGGCGAACTCCTTCACTTGAGACGGGAACTCATGGTCTGTGATGTGAGCATGACTGCGAGCAAGATATCGAGATGGCTTCAGAGCAACTCACAAGCGATGGTGTGAAGCGTCTGCTTGTCGTGGGTAACCGTATCGTAGGCTGGCAGATCGATAGGATACACGACGCGGGCTCCAGCACCACACATCCTGTCCACTGCGTCCTTCCAAGAAGCTCGCTGAAGCAAATGTCAATCTCAGGACGGGCGGATGATATGAGAGAACCTACCACATGGGGGTGGCCCCATTTGTCCGTCCCAGTCTCGTGTATGCCCCAGAGAACGTCGGCAATACCTACCGAAAGTCCTTCCCAGCTGCAGCTGACCTCGAAGGTCGGGAGGTTGACAAGCGGGCTGTCGGTCTGAATACCTACCAGTATCTCAGCGAGCGCCGCCAAATCACGCGGATCCCTGGCCATCAGTCCGATGCCGTCGAAGCTGGAGCTCAACTTGAAGACCCCATCCGTCGGTATCAAGCCTGGCGTGAGCTTCAGGGCATACAGTCCCGAAAGACTTGCTGGGTACACAGTTGAACCGCTTGTCTCCGTGCCGATAGCCAAAGGACAGAAGCCGGATGCGATGGATACCGCCGACCCCGATGAAGAACCCCCAGCGATCTTTCACAAGTCAGCCCTTGCTTACTTCGCACCTATGACTCCCACTTACTGGTTGTTCGTCTTCAGAAAGGTCATCACGGCGGTATGGTGACTTCGTCTGGCCACCAAACGCGCTCCACCCCACCGGTGTATCGTTGGATCTGCGTCCGTTAGCAGTTGGCGGCATCATGAGGGGGCAAAGCAAAGTACTTGAGACCACAGAACTCCTACAGGCTGTCAGTATAAGGGTTCTTTCCTGTATTCGGCTTCGCTTACTGTCATGTTGCCTTTCCCAATGATGATGAGACCAGCGTGAAGCAGTTTCTCGATCAGGGAGGCATTCTTGAGTGCTGTCATCGACGCGAAAGCATGGGCGCCAGCAGTTGTAGGCAATCCCAGGTCCTTATGGGTAATGAATGTATCCTATATATGCATCAGTCATCTCAATCTCTATAAGAACGTTTTCGGCCATCTCACCTTGACCACGACAGGTATCCCATGCAGTCTACTCCTAACATATCCCTCTCGTCTCTCCTTGTCAAGATCGTCGGCCCTGATCAGAGCATTATGTTCAGGGCATACGCTTATCAAGGCATTCAAGACTCCATTATGGCTTTCAATCTGTTGTAGACAAGCCTCAATCAGCTGCCGGCTCGTAAGTGAACCGGACACGAGCTTCTCTTGGAGGCTCAAGGCGGTGGAAAACTTGAGCGGGGTTGCAGGTAGAGCCATATTGAAAAGAAGGCTCATGGAGCTTCGATGGGCGTTTTTCTTCTGATTTCAGGTTCTTTCAAGACGTCGACATATGGGCAGTATGTTCTAAGTTGCGGCATGCTACAGGAACTTTTGTCATTGATGCCCCTCATTTGGATGAGAGGCTACAGCGATGTGTGGGCCGCTTTCAACCCTTGATCCATCTGCCTAATCCATTGATAAGCAGCAGCCTACTTTCCAACGTCAGCAATTATGATTAGAAAGATCACCAAGCTTCATTCCTGAAGCTTGGGTGGCTATCACATGGGAGTTCATCCGGACCTTGTATGAGTGACGCGGGGGCCTAGACTGGCGCTCAGCTGGCACCGCCTGGCCATACAGCATCAGTTCCCGACCGGCCGAGTATTTTCTGATGATGACCTCATACGTCAGCCAGCTCGGCCGGGAAACCACGCGGCGCAATAGCATCAACCATGCTTCAAACACGCTAGGGCCCTTGGATCAAAGACACCGACCCAAACGGAAGCAAGAAGCGTAGAGAAATCAACCCGAAGAGATGGATTCAGAGGCAAAGCCCATGACCCGCCGCACCGTCGTCTCGTCTTTCATCTTCAAGTTTCCTCCAGACGGCGGTTCTCAGGTCGCCCTGTTCCGACGGAGCGATAAGGTGCGGACGTACCAGTGAGTTTCTATTGTCATGCCATGAGATGATCGGATACTGAGTGGCCTCCGCAGAGGTCGTCTTGCTCCCGTATCAGGCAGCGTGGATAAGGAAGACCCGTCGCCTCTGCATGCCGCATGGCGTGAGATCAAGGAAGAGACGGGCTTGACGCCTGCAAATCTCACGCTCTGGCGCCAGGGCAAGGACTACCGCTTCGCCGACGAGAAGATTGGACGCGAGTGGATCATCTACCCGTTCGCCTTCCGGCTCAAGTCCCCAGATGACGAATCTCGAATCCAGATCGACTGGGAGCACACGGGGTTCCAATGGTTTGATCCCCATGAGGTCCGTGATGTCTATGAGTTTGGAGGCGTACCACGGCTAGCAGAAAGTCTGCGTCGGGTATGGTTCGAGGTCGAACTTGGGGACAAGAGGGGAGAGATGCTCAACCAAGGGTTGCTGGCCCTGCAGAGGGACCATGAGAGTGGAGCGAGGCAGCTGGCCGGCAAAGCGCTTCAGATCCTCATCAGTTTGATCAAAGAGGGTGACGAGTCTTTAGAACGATGGTGGAAAAGCGCGAGGCTTGCGGCATGGCATCTGTGGAAGAACGGGCGGGAGAGCATGGGTGCTGCGATCCTGAATGTGCTCGTGAGGTCGCTGGCAATCATCGAAGATGAAGTGAAGAGGGCCGATGGAGTGTCTCTGGAGTTTTTGGGTACGGTAACCAGAAAGTTACAACAGTACGCGGTATCGAGGGATGATTCGGTTGACGATATCTGGAGGTCTCTGAAAGGCTTCCTCCAAGAGAACCACGACTCCGGGAAACCGATTCGCATACTCACTCTCTCGTCTAGCTCGACCATACTGGAGTGTCTTCACAGAGCCATCTTGGGCTTCCGCTCCGAGTTCGACATCAGGATTCTTGAATCACGCCCACTTTTTGAAGGGGTCTCGATGGCCTCGAGACTAGTTGGCCGCCTGCGGGAATCTGGAGCTGAACGAGAGAAGAAAGTTGAGGTGTCCATTTACACCGACGCCGCTGCTGCAATTGCCAGCGAGGCAGTCGATCTAGTATTGATTGGCGCCGACTTGATTGCGAAGGATGGATCGACAAGCAACAAGACAGGCTCGCTGCCGGCAGTGCTCTCAGCCAAGCACTGCGCCCCCAATGCGAAGGTGTTGGTACTGGCAGAGAACGAGAAGATTTTACCCTACGAGCCACCCTTGCGCGAGGAGAACGACATCGAGGAGGTTTTCGCTTCTTGGAGAAGGGAGGAGTCTCTGCAGGAGGCCGCATCGACGGTGCTTAGCTATTCACAGAAGGAAACGCTCGGGGGTCACGATCTGCAGGCGACCGTGAAGAACGTCTACTTCGAGTGGGTTCCTACGACTCTCATCGACGGGTACATGTTCGAAGATGGACAGAAGGGTGCACAAGATATTTCGGATCTTGCGGATCATGTTCGCGGCGAGGCAGATGCCTACTTCGCCAACGTCTGATTATAGACATTATGGGAGGGATCATCAGCCATCCATGTAGACGGCGCTTCATCAAAGACCGTAGATGAATGTCCACTTTCTGTCGGCGTACCGCGTACTGTCGACTCGCTCCCTTTCAATGTCTTCTGAAGTCTTTTGTCGCAGGATCTCAATCTTTCTCCGGTTGACCCGTACCAATATGAATCTGTACGACAGATATCCGACAAGGGCTACTGCCACGAAGCCCAACGTAACATAGAAAGGAAGTCTGTAGTTCGGTTTGTAGCGATCGCGGTAGAGTTGCGCCCCAATAACGCCGGCGAGGTTTCCGAAGCCGTTCGCGCCAAGGACAATGGCTCTCTTCCCAGGTTCTGTACAACCAAAAGGGTTAGCAAGTTTGCAATGCAGTGCGAGGCTTAGATCCATACCTGGGTTGTTTCCACTCAACCAAGCAACAGTCAGGGGCGCAGCAACATAGCTGCCAAGTAGGAGCACGCAAAGAGCTGCATACTTCCCGGCGTGTGACTCGACGGTGACCGTGGCGATCAGTCCAACGAGAGCAATCAAAATTCCCCCCACGATATGATATCCACGTTCCTTGCTATTTGAATGTTAGCCAACACAATTCGCAGTACCTAGAGGAAAAGCGAAAGACGCACTGGTAGTCCGAGCTCAAGGCAAACAAGTACAGGCCAAGAGCGCCACATACATACGGTGGAACGGACATCTGAACAGTTAGCAAATTTCAGATAGTTGATGCATCAAAACCTACCAAGTTGGCCTGTATGGAAGAATACCCAAGCCCCTGCACCACGAGTGGAAGAAACACAGAAAAGGCTTGTCCTGGCACGCTGGCGCAGATGTTGAACACCAAAACGTACCAGAACTTCCAGTCTCGAAGTGTCTCGAGGAAATCTCTTTTCTTCAAGCGTTCGTTTTCGATGCCGTTCTTGCTGTAGGTGTGCTCGACGAAGAGTGCATTGTCCTGCCTCATCCGCTCTGCTGCGAACTGCTGTTCGTCCGGCGTCAAGAACCAAGCAGACCCAGGACCCGATGGCAGGAAAAACCAAGCTATAAGGCCGAAGAAGATGGTCAGGGTTCCCTCAATGATGAATAGATATTGCCAATTCTTCAGGATTCCGTCGCGCAAATGGAAGACGCCGTAGGCTGTTGATTCATTAGCATCTGTTGATTCTTTACAACTCAACTTCCACAAATTGGCCGCACGTTTCGATATCGGTTCAGAGGCACCTTGAGAAACAAACGTCCTGGGCGGATCGTTTAGAGGCCTTCGAATTGCATCGTGAAACTGCAGCACAGCGACAAAATCAACTCTGTCAACGTACCAATTGCTCCAGAGAAAGCCCCCGCAACGGCATATTGTCCGTAGAAAAGACCGACGCGAACCGCGAGGTCGTATCTGCAGTAGAAGAATGACAGATAGGCGACGGCAGTGGGATAAAAACCGGCTTCGAAGGCGCCGATCAGGAGGCGAGTGGCAATGAGGGCATCTGTTTACGCAGCAATTAGCCAATTTCCAACAAAATTGCACGAAACAACGAACCTCGTCCCTTGATGAATGCTTGGACCAAGGTAATGAACCCCCAACCGATCTGTCGTTGCCAAGGTTAGCAAAACCTGCGTTTTTCGGGTTGTGGAGGTCTTGTGTAACCTACCATCATAATGGGGATCCAGTGCTTCGCCCCAAGCCATCGACCAATGGCTGCCGAAGGAGGTTGAAACACAACAAAAGTGATGAAGAACAGAGAGACCGCTAGGTTCAGATCATCTGGAACAGCTCCGATGTCCGTGGTGAAGCCTTGAAAAAGGAATGCAGTGTCAGTGATCCAGAAAACGACTCGATTCTAAGTAATGCCTCAACAAGCTCGATTCAACATACCTTGAGTTTGTGCATTTCCCACGTTTCCTCTATCAAGGCCATTGAAAAGGTAGAGAAGGGAAAGAAGAGGGAGTAGAGAAATGTCCATCTTCCGATTAATGCGTCGATGCATGGCAGCTTCGTTGACCGGTTCGAGACCATTGTCTCCTTGGACACGTAGGGGCTTGCCATCCGAAAACCAGGAGATAGTCTCCTGGGTCTCGGCGCTGTTGGACATTCGGCTCATTTTTTTTTCTTTGCTTTTTCCGTTCCGTTGATATCAGTCTCGTAACTGCTGGTTATTTCCAGGGGCCCCAATCTCCAATCTCCCTCGCTCCGGAGCGTCCCTTTATAGCCGACAATTTCATGGGCAAATGCGGCTCGTTCACGACACGGCCTGCTGGCGGGAAAGCCTGTCTCTGCAAAATCGAAATTTTGAGCCTCATCTGCCTGCTTCTGTCGTCATGGCATTATTCAATGTCATGCTAACAGTCATAAGGCAGCTGCTGCGGTCATGATTTGCCGTGCTCAGCCCTAAGAGGCTCATTGTCTGTAGAGGGTGCCTTGAATGCAGAATGCTGGACGGTGAGTGGTTAAATGGAACAGAAATGGCAAGTGTACCACATAAGCAGACAGAAGGCGGGTTTCAACCAGTCTGCGCAGCAGGTGTCTTCGTTTTTGGACTCTTCCCCTCCCAAGAGTGGAGAGAGTCAGATCGATAATTCGGTGAAAGGGGATGGAACCATAAGCCTTGTCCGGACTCTCCGTCAGTGCATCACGTCAGTCGACGCCCGCTTCAACGGTTTCGGCCATCTTCGGTCTACAGGGCTACTGCACAGTACTTCTCATCTAACTGGAGAGCCCGGCCACGAGACGGGGGCCTTCAATGTCTTTTGGCCCCCAGCGGCATTTCGTCCGTGTGGGACCACGGCCGGCCAGAGTCACCCACGCGCCGTGGTGTGTGCGCGCACCCTACCCCCAGCTCCGAAGGGGGGCATTAGCTTCTTACACCGTTGGAGAATTTAGTCTTTGGGCAGACTCAGCCAGGCCGTTCTAGGGTTAGTGAAACGGGGAACGAGGGGAACCTGGACAAAAGACAAAAGAGCAGATGGAGTAATGGAGGGTGGGCAGGATCAACTAACTTCACATTTGACGTCCATGGATCAGGGGATGACTGCTCTTCGCCCAATCCAACGGCCAAGTTCGCAGGTTGATGACGGGGGGATTGGGGTATGCAAGTTGCCTGTGGGTGGCGGGCGGCAGGCATTGATTGATCGGTGAACGGCACTCTCTCTCCGCTGCTAAAGCGTTTGATTCACAGGGGGTTATCTTGGTTGGAAACAAATATGGCGGGCACAGTGGTGTCTCATTTTCAGATCAGAACGAACGCCTCGATTCACACATTCACATTAGGAGGGGCATACTGGTCAGGCGGCCTTTATCGGTCAGCCTAGCCTGGCCTAGTTGAGTCCAGATCGCGAACCTGAAGAAAGTACCATGCAGAGTAAGATCTAACGGTGACGCCAGGGGCCTGGGACGGGGACCTTGGCGACATGTGGAAGCAGCTATCAGCCCTGTATCCTGTCCCAGATCCCAGGGCCTCAATTGGTGTGCTTCTTTGATCCTTCGGCTGGTGTCTCAGTTTCTTCCCGAGCGCTCGGTGCCGATCCATCTCGTGCATCTACGGAGTACTCGATTGGGCGTAGATCAAGTGAGACTTGATCTGATAGGTTGGAAAAACAAAACTTGTAAATGGAAAAGAAACGTCCACGATGCCTTCGCAAAATCTCGCAGATCTGGCAAGAGGTCTGTGAGTGAATACACTTTGGGGTCACTTGCGGTAGTCTCTCCCTCTGTGGAATTCTTCAGGACAAAAATGGGGGTGGGCGGAGTGATGTACCTGGAAAGTAACGTCTGTTCCTTCGTCTAGCTGAGGCCTTTGTCTAGCCGCGATGGGCGCCTCCAATTTTGGAGATCATGCCCGGCTCCGATGACCATGGAGGTGGCCGCCAAGTCCGGCCAAGAGCAGAGTCAAAAAGCCGGATTCACCCGTTGTTTTTTTGCGGAGGAAAGGGGCGTTTTAATAAGTAAAGCCGCAGTGTGCTAGATTTGCATTTTGACCTTCTTCTTTTGATGTCGACAGACCTACCATCCGGCGTTGTCGTCTTCTTTTCCATCAGAATGGTACGATCTTTAGTTCAACCCATCTTTGATTGAGCAGGCACACGTGTCCTGAGGGGTCCTGGCCTGTTCGACGCTCCACGCCGTTGAGGGACCCCTATCTCTCCTTCCAATCGGTCGACTCGGGCCATTGACAACCGCTGTGGACATCTTGCCTTGCCGGCATTGTACAATGTGGGTTGCTGCGGCAGACCGTTTCCTGTCAGTTGAGCTTGTGTAACCTAACCCACCTCGGAGGCACCTGAATGTTGCGCAGGCCGATCGAACCCACACGATGTCGGGGCCACTCCGACATCCTTGTCAAGGCCTTCCTTCTTCAGGTTCTCAAGACGTAAACAGTTCTCTGTGATTGGAATAACAATATCAAACGAATGGATCTACTCTATCCATCATGCTTATCCATCATGGACGAACCCGGCCTTTCTCAACAAGAACGGTCTCCCACCTAGGGTTGCACTTTTCCCACTTGTAAGTCCATGTCTTTCCCACATCAAGTCTTTCCGCAACAGGCGTCTTAAATGGTGGACGCTTTACCATTATGGCACGCATGTGTCGCAGCCCATACCAGCTATCCATGAGAATAAATAATTTCCTTCTCGATCTCGATTCCAATTACATCCAGTTCACGGCGAAGTCGAAGGACCGATCAATGCCGCCGACACCCCGTCGCACTTGAACAAAACTGCGACTCACCTGATTCATGCCGCCCACCACTTCACCGCTTTTAGTACCGATCGCCACGTTGACAAACTTGTCGACACTAACCTCCTTTGCCCCCTGAGGACGTTGCGGATTCGTCTCCCGCCGGCCGACGAGCATGAATAAGAGCGAGGCCACCGCACTGTGAAAAGCAGCCGATCCCAGCAAGGGAGCAACAATGATTCAGGTTACAGGTATGGGGGTCGATATGCGTGGCCAATTGCCGGCCGCAAGCCATGAAGGCATTACGTCTAGACCAGCTCGGAATTCCAACCCACTGGTAGTCCAGCTGTTCTCCTCCAGCAGCGTGAAGAGCTCCATCATGCCTGCGATGTCCTCCTCAAGTCCATCCTCGACCAACCAGTGCAGTTCTCTCCTGAACTCGCAAGCCTTTCGTCTTGACCTCGTTGGCAATAATGCAAAAGACTGAGTTGTCCCAGAACATCTTCTAGTCTTAGTCTGTCGGTCCAATCTCACCAACATCCATTGCCAGTGTTCCTCTATGTGTTGCCGTACGATGTTCGACTCCAGCTCGTGATATCCTGTACATTGGCTCGTCCCTTTTGCACGCGGACCTGGGCAGCTCCACAAAAAGACTTGAAAGAGGCACTTCTCGGACAACCCTAGCACACTTGGCCCAAAGGCGACAATGATGAATTGGATACATTTTCCGCTTTCGAGGAGGCTCCCAAGCATCTTCGAGAATGCACAGCCGGAGTGAAGAGTAGTTTTCTACCCATGTCCAGTGTTCCCCAAAGCTTGGTCTCCCAGGGATGCTGAGGACAAGACTGGATTAGTCCGACCGAATGTTTTCGCGAAACAATACGGCCTGACTCTTTAGGTCGTTTGGTACACAGTAGTCTGTTTCGGAAGCTTTTGTTGCTGGCGTGGACGGTTTCCATCTCGTATTCTACGCGAGATCTCCCGTTGCGATAGCGATTAGACATATGGAAAGTGAAGATGATTTGGTGCTCGGTGGTTAAACAGCATCGGTCTGACAAAGCTCGCTCCTACCTCGTCCACCCGATCGGATCTGTAGAAATCTATCTGCTGACATGGTAATTCTGTTGATCTGGATGCTACCGTGGCATAGTGAGAATTGAGCGGATGCTCTACTGCCCCGAACGCGGATGTGTTTTCGGGGTCTCGGCCGCCCGTAACCCCCTGGTAGCCCCTTTCCACCTCGATCATTCGGGGCTGTAACCATGATCAAAGGCACCGAACTGTAGTTTTCCATGGCACCAAATCTCACAGGCTCCGGCACAGGCACATCATGAATGATGCGCAGTGGGACGGCCCTGGACGCAGCGCTTAACAAAATCTCAACACGGAGATATCGTACTGATGGGGAGACCTTAACGATGGACCTTAATCAGAGTACTTCGACTTAGCTAGTTTTCAGACTGCTTGCTGGCCATGTAATTTGATGCGAAAGTAGGAAATAATAGGATCACGGCTGCTCTCAAGCTGTTTGTCAGGCTACCACAACAGAGATGACTTCGCCTTCCTGCAGCATCTCGTCTTCGGGCTTCCTAAGTAAGGACAATTGACGCAGCCCCGGCACGAGTGAAGACGCCCTCTTCATGCTCGAGCGAACGTTATTATGGACGTCTTGCTTGCCGAGTCCTAGTCCAGGTTCGGATCCCACAAAGCCTTCTCTCTGATGGTTACCTCCGAGAGCGTCCACATGCTCCTTTTGCCCGTTAAGTAGCGCAGCATCAGCAGGGGTGCACGCATGGTGAAAGCATCATCACTAGGCCGGTTCCCCTGGCACTGGTCTTCACGAGATCTTGGGTTTTTTGACTGCAACCGTCCAGCGAGACCGCACACGACTCAAAGCACCCTGCCTATTCAACTGATCGAACCTTATACAAATCATCTTCCGACTGAGGTATTTTTTTGTCGAAGTCAAATAAGCCATAGATCTGCATATTGAGTCTCGATTTCTTCAAAAGGATTGGTCTTACGATCTTGCAACCGAGACCACGTTCTATGGTACCTTGGCACGTTGTTCGGTAGTAAGTATTCTCGTCCGAATGTCCGCCGATGCAGCAGACTCCAAATAATCTCCTCGCCATCGATATCACTTAATGTCCCATCCATGACACGCATGATGTAGCTTTGTAGACCGCGATTCAAGCTCGACATTCCTTATGCTCGATTTCGAATCGCGCGACCGTATGTCTGTAGATTACCACCTGAGGGATAAGGGGGATGGGAAGAGCATGCAGATGCAAATGGTGGTAGCGACGGAGACAGAGTTTGGATCGCAATTTTGGGTGGAAAGCGGGAGTCGAGGATGTGTAGCATATGATACGGCAGTGTACGCGTATCTTGCATGCATTGTCAATATTATTTTAGCACTTG